GGTATATATATATATATATATATATATACCTGTGTGTGTGTGTTGTTTGAAATACTCTCCTTAGATGGCTCTGGTATACGTTTATGAGGTTACGAGAGCTGATTTTGTGTATTGCAATATTTATACTTGGAATGAAAAAACTCGTTTGGCTCTGAATGTGTTTGTTTGTTATTGAGCAAAAAACTACACAAAGGACTATGTGTGATTTGCCCACCACGGGTATCGAAACCCTGGTTCTATCAGTATAAATCCGTAGACATACCACCGTGCCACTGAAGGCCTATAAATGTGAACGTGGCACCTAGAAATTTATTTTGAACGTCAACACTGTACTAATCCCCAAAACAGTTTTATTTCTTACACCAAATAATGTAGTTTTTCCCAAGTATTTGTTAGTATTTATTTTCCTCTGATTTCTCTTTTACACAAACAGAGTGTAATATATTACAACATAACAGTACCGCCCAGAGAGATGTTACGGTCATAATTCTTTCTAAAATATTTTCTTATTTACAAACAATAATACATTAAACTAAAATAAAAAGTAGTGAATTTTCTATTTCTTTCACGAAATATTTTATTATGAAACAAAGATTACGTCAATTTAGAGGTTATTTTTCCTTTCACAAATATACCAGTTGTCTTACTCATTTATTGGTAAGCTGAAGATTTGCTTTGAAAGCTTTTGCCGCCAAAAAACGGTATACCAACAAACAATTCACGAATGTGATAAGCACATGTTAGATTTTAAAACTTTATGTGATATTTGAAGCTTTACTGTGAGTCGCCTATAGTGCTGTATCAGCATCATAAAATTAACTGTTGTAGTTTGTTTATAGTCTGCTTAAGCGAAAAGCTGCACAATGGACTATTTGCGCTTGTTCACCGCAGTCATCGAACTCCTAAATTCAGCTTTCTAAACCCTCAAGCCTACTACTGAATCACCGAGGGATATGGGTGCCAAGTGTTATACGAAATTATTTAAAGGCTACATTTTATAGCACTTACGTAATACATACGTTGCCCTTTGAAAACAATAACAAATTTTGTACAGGACAAAGTAAACTTAGACAACGGAACGTAATCTTAACATAGCCCTTTATGCAGCACGAAATAGTGTACGCTATAAAGCATTATACATCACTATTTGTTTTCCTGTCTTCAATCTTTCCTACCTATTTGAGTAGAATAACAATAAAATATACGTAGAAACCACATTCTTGAAAATCAATTTCATCTCAAGTAAATATGAAACTTTTGAGTTATTTTCTTTTACTTTTTTATAAGGCTATAAACATTTCAACGTGAAAGTTTAGTTTTTTATATTTCCCAGAAGAACGTTTCACCGTTGAAAGCTATTTTAGAGAAATAGAAAAAACAACAAACAGGGATTTGGTTTTATGCTTTGCTTTGTTTGTCAAAAAAACTAACATTAAGAAAAAATTACCTTATAAACCACATCCTGTAAATTAAGTTTCCTACCGGATAAATCTGGAACCTTGAACTCTTTAATTTAGTTATTATGAGAAGTTTTGAAAGGAAACATTAATTTTTAAACTTACTAAGAAATCACCGAGTCATTGGAAAATAATTTGAAGAAGTAGCTACAAAAAGAGAAAATAAGCTTACTTGTTACTTATATTTTGTTCGTTTGGAATTAAGCACAAAGCTACACAATGGGCTATCTGTGCTCTGCCCACCACGGGTATCGAAACCCGGTTTCTAGTGTTGTAAGTCCGCATACATACCGCTGTTACTTATATACTCATAATTTTCTATATTTCTATGCGTTTTAAAATTTCTCTATTTTTTAATTATATACATAAACCGTATAGCTTAGTTGATGCCAAGTGTATAAATTATTTGCAGCAAAGCGCAGTTTTAAATATAATAAAATAATATACAAAAGTTGCATAAAAGTTCAACGTAAAGAGTGAAAAGATTTTTCGAAATACGTACGTATCAAGAAATTAGCATAAACGTTGCGTATTTGATATTGAGCAATAGGCATAGTTTTCTTTCAAAATATGTTAATGTCAGCAAAACATAACAGGTATTATCTTCAGTAATGGTTAATAAAAGATGTTGTTCACGACAGATGTATATAAAGCTGCTTATTTTCTTAATATTACGTTACTAGGGAAAGTACCCGGCTTCGCTCGGGTTATTAGGTTGATATACTCTAGATGACTATATCAGTGTATGCATTCTCAACCTATTTTAACATAGGAGAACGTCAAAAATATTTTAAACATTTTTATCTCACAGAAGCGTTAAAACACTTCTTTTCTATGTGGTTTTTCGTTAGCCTGCCTCATTAAAAAGATGTGTGCGCACGCGCACGCACGTGGATAAGATAAGTAATAATACTCAGGTGCACACCCTCAGGGTCCACTTTGTATTTTGTAATATAAAGAAACACTTCTTTTCTATGTGGTTTTTCGCTAGTTTGCCTCATTAAAAAGATGCGTACGCGTGCACGCACGTGGATAAGATAACGTTTGCATGAGATATCTTGGTAAATATTGCTTGGTGCAACACTTTCAACCAGTTTCTGTTTGGATTTACAAACTTATGGAAAAGTAGTAACATAATATATTGTGGAATTTATATAATCAATTAAATTGCAACATCTCATTGTTTACATACGTTTTACAGTTCAACAGAATAATCTGCTCATTTATCTTTAAATAATACTCCTATATTATAGGTCGCTGGTGGGATAGCAGTAAGTTTACGAACTTATAACGCTAAAATACAGGGTTTGATTCCCAGCGGTGGACACAACAGATACCTCTACGTGGCTTTGCTCTACAAAACAAGGAAACTTATACTATAGTTTCATTGGTCCATATGACTTGTTTGCATGAAATTAAATTATCTACTTCTACTTGTTTTATTAAACAATAATTGTAACTCCTTAGTCTTAAACACTACTTTTCGAGATTGATTGTTGTAAGACTTCCTTTGCAACTAAATCAGTTGATTAGATAATTGTAACTCCTTAGTCTTAAACACTACTTTTCGAGATTGATTGTTGTAAGACTTTCTTTGCAACTAAATCAGTTGATTAGATCTCTTTTATATAATTTATTAACATGGTTCTGTAATTTAATCTGTCATTTCCCATAATTTATTTTGGGTTTAATGCCTTTTTTTATTTCAGAACAATCTTAACTATTGAATCAAAACAAATACCGCAATGACGCCATTTGGTTATATTCGTAACTCATAATTATAATGACTAATCCACTTATATTTATACTACAGAACCAGACAATATCTTTTAAAACTTGTAAAAAGGAACAATTTACAAAGCAACAACATAATAAGCTACAGAAAAACAATATTCAGATATTTGTGATAAAAGTAGTAGGATCGTTTTCAGCGGTAAAAAGCAAAAGCGTCAGAAAGGTTTAAGGTGTGTTATTCAACAAGTTAAACAAAGCCTAGAATAAAATTCAAATGCAGTTTTGTTTTAATATGTCTTTCCTGAAGTTCTTAAACTAAACGGATACATTTTCTTTCATTCTTTGAAGTTAAGCACAAAGCTACACAATGGACTATCTGTGCTGTGCTCGCCACGAGTATCGAAACCCGGTTGCTAGCGTTGAATGATGAAAATACCAAGTAGTATAGCTTAAAATAATAACTTTTTAATGCTATGATACTTTTTTCATACAACTTCGCTAATAAAGAAAATTACACCAGAACAATTATAGAACTAATGACTCGTAACATTCATTCTAAATTGCTTTATTTGTTAACATGATTAAGAAAACATAAATCAAAATAGTCTAGCTGTATTAGCCTCCTAATGACTCAGCGGTAAGTCTGTGGGCTTATAACGCTAAAAATCGGGTTTCAATATCCTTGGTGGGAACAGCACAGACAGCCTGTAGTTTTGTGATTAACTATAAAGAAACTATATTACCTAAATGTATATTTTTAGCCCCCCCCCCCAACTGGTACAACGGTATGTATGTGGACTTACAACGCTAGAAACCGGGTTTCGATACCCGTGGTGGGCAAAACACATATAGCCCATTGTGTAGCTTTGTGCTTAACTTCAAACAAACAAACGAACTCATATTAATCAAATTATCCTTGAAATATAAAACACTTGGTTCTAAGTTAGAATGCTGGAAAATTATATTGTTATTTGAATTTCTGTATGAAACCACGATTAGTGAAAACGATTGTCTCCTCTTTTTCCAGAATTTCTCTACTAGTAATTTCCATGCTTTGCATCGTTTTATCTATCGTCCTTGCCTGCTATGTCTACCGATATAGGAAGCTGAAAGTTATCAAGGTGGCAAGCCCAGTTTTTCTCTGTATTACTCTCTTGGGTTGCGCCATTATGTATACGGAGGTATGTTTCTTCTTTCTCTTCATAAAAAATCCATTCATTCATCTTTTTCTAAAGTCATATTAATGCCACGGGCGTTTAACTAAAATGTGCTAAAGGCTTTGTTTATACTGTAGAACAAAACCATTGGCGGTGGAACAGGGAGTGTCGCCACCCAAATCAGCTCTACACAAATTTTAATAGGTTTATGAGTTGCTAGATTAGAATTGAATTTTTGTCCAAAATAATGACTCAATATAAACAGGTGGAGATTCTTAAATGAATTTGATAGTTGGAAATAAAAGGATGAAATAAAGTGATTATGGTAAAAAAAAAGAGAAATTGGTCATAATACTGCTTATTTTTATTATCACATTGACTTCGCTTGTTTATTTTCTATCATTCCCATTCACTAAACAGGCCTAAATCGCCTTCCTTATTATAATAGTTTTTTTCTGGGGGAACATGCACCTGAAACCCTTAATTTTCACCTGCCTTCGGCAAACTCTCTTCTGCAAAACTTAGTTCATCTCCAAATCTGCTGCCCGTGACTCGATATATTAATGGTTAATGTGCCAGATTGTGGCTATGTGAATCCATTGTTTGAATCCCCCGTAGCAGTGAAAATGCACTCCTCATTTTTGGGCTATGGGTAGCCTAGAAGAGTGACATTCAAATCCCACTATTCGATCAGAGTAACCCAAAAGTTGGCAATGGGTGCCGTTGACTAGCTGCATTCCCTCTAGTCTAACAGTTTTAATTTAGGGGTGGATAACGCAGATGCCGATATTTGGCTTTGCGCTAATTTGCGAAAAGAACACAAATATTTCCAAAATTGCTCCCCTATTATACATCTTGCTCCCAAAGCTTATGAAAACACTGCACTCTATTAAAATGATTTTTGTTCCACCAACAGACAATATTACCAAAATACAACTTTAACAATACAGTAAATGGCGGTCATTAACACTAAGGTATTTATACCAGTAGAGCTAACAAGAAATGTCAAGATTTATCGTTTCAAAAGATATTAGACTTTAAACTAATTATGTTTTACCAGTTGATTTTTATAACACTGACTATTTTCGGGTTTATAGCGTGCGTAGAATAAAAACACTGGAATATATATTCGAATTTAACTACGAAGGGACGGCTGTTCATGTATATGCCACAAGGTTAGGCCTGTTATAACTCTGTGACAATTAGTAATTAAAGCTGTATTGATAATTATGTTGGTTAGTTTGCACTGTGTAACTAGCTCCTCATTGCTGATTCTTTAACAAGTAGTGTGTTTTTGTTATTCAGCACTGTGTAAAATAGTGACTTAGAGCTAACCAAATCTTCTATCCAAAAACGTAACTGAGCCAAGAAGAAAGTAGACTCTTAGTTAGCAAACACCTGGTTGGTGTTATGTAAACAGCTATAAACAGATGCGAGTGTTCATAATTTGGCCGTAAAGTATGAGCATTTAGTAGCATGAAATTGATGTAAAATTTCATTAGAAGCATTATTACCCTCGCACCAGTCAATAGAAATATGTATACATATCTGTACATATAAAATGAATTACTAGCCAATTGCCTTCAAGTTTTAATGTCCGTTTCAGATGGCAGCCATATTTCCTGCCCTTGACGTGTACAGCTGTGTAGCCACAAAGTGGACTCGTCATATGGGTTTTTGTCTAACGTACAGTGGCCTACTATTAAAAACATGGAGGTAGGTTGCTCTGAATAAGAAGTTGGAGCCTTTTTATTCCCATCTATTTGGATGAGGAAAGTACTTTACACCAGTTTTGAGTGTTTTCATCCTTTCCCCGTATTTAGTGTTTCCTTAAAGTAGTTCTTATTTTATTGCAGAGTATCTTTGACATATCGTGTGAAATCCGCCCACAAATTGAAACTAACAGATAGGCAGCTTCTTCAGTGGCTATTTCCTATCCTTTTCATCATGGGGATCTACCTGGGCTCTTGGACAATCTCCTCACCCCCTGAGGCAATCTATATCCATGACTGGTTCAACTTAAGATTTCGCCAGTGTGACTATAACTGGTGGGATCACAGTTTAGCCATAGGTGAGTTTTATAGGTATATCATGTTAATGTTAGATGAATAAATAACCGAAAATAATTTGTTCTGCTGATTTTAGGAATGTACAACGCTTTTATGAGAGTCTCTATGAATGATGTATTAATCTTAAACAGAATTTTTTTCATGTAAGATCGTTTGCTCATCCATGTAAGTATCCTCTTTTCTTTTTCAGGGGAATTTCTTTTCTTACTATGGGGGATCCGTGTGTGCTATAACGTTAGAAACGCAGAGTCTTTCTTCAACGAGGCAAAGCACATCAGTTGGGCCATCTACAACATTACTTGTGTCAATATTATTATGGTTATGATACAGTAAGTGTTTTATGAGTGCGTGGGACATTACAGAAGTAATATAATTCCATTATGGACCAAAATTTACATTTCCTTTAGCATTTTCATTGTGATCCATTTATATTTCAAACTCTTAAGGCATCAAATTGAAAGAAAAATTAAGTTTAAATTTCAAAGTAGTCAGATGCTTTAGCTAAATATTGTTGTGAAATAATACAAAAATATATATAAATGATAATAATAATAAAAGAACAAAATGAAAGAAGTGCCACTTCTAATGTGATATTTTGTATTATTTTTATAATGATATAAAAAAATCACATTATATAATATAGCTCGAATTATTCCATTTGCTATTTTCAAACAAAAATACTATATATTAGAAATAAGCATAAGCTCACTGGCAATGCTAAATTTGATAAGTAATTTTAATGACATAAAAATCGTATTATATAACTTCAGTTATTCATTTGTTGTCTATTTTCAAACGAAAAAAAGCTATATATTAAGACTACTGACAACGCTAAATTTGATAAATAATTGTATAGGTTTGTTTTTGGAAAATAAACGGCACGTTTATATTTAGTTTATATGATTAAAACGGTCTTTTCATCCAGTTTAGTGATTCTACCAAGCGCTGATCCGGACGTCAAGTACCTGTTTGGGTTCATTCGAACTCAGTTAAGCACAACAGTCACGATAGTTTTTATCTTTGGGCCTAAGGTAACATTCTGATATTATCATTATAGGATACTTGGGTATTATAATTTATTGTGCATATTTATAACACTAATAGTTTTAGTTTGTTTTTTTATTTTGTGCAAAATGTGATATTTGTTTTGTGTGTTTCATAAACATTTTAAAGATATAAAGAAATCTCTGTTGTAACGCAGAAAAATAAAAATAACATACAAATTCACTTGTAATTATATAAATCAATTAATAAGTAGACTGTTGCAATATTCTCAATATCATTGATTAACAAATCCAGCACTAAAAATGCTAATTATTCCATAAATCAACACGATAATTGTATTACTTTCTTCAATTACCCAGTTCTACCGAGTAATTAAAGGTCAAGGAGACACGTGGGACAATCGAGCCAGAGCTCGTGGGGTGACGGCATCCTTCTCGCTCAATGGGGTAGGGTTGGTGCACGAAGAAACTACAGATTTGTATCAAGAAAATGAAGAGCTCAAGGTAAGGTAGAAACTCAAAAAGTTTAATACAGGGAAAATTACTGTATAAGTATAGCAAAACTTTGGAGTCATGCACGAAATATATACAATTTTTAGCATGTACCAAATGCTACCTAAGATATAGACTTTTCCAAAATATAGTTAGATAATACTGATCAATAACTTTTAATCTATAATCAACTAGGAGATGAAAGAGTTATTATACGTTAGTTTGGGTAACACTTCTCACTTTATAAATGAAAAATTGCACACACGTTCCAAACAATTTCTTACATATTAGAGACGTCTGGTGATCCTTATTTACTTCGAATCATGTTTAATACTTTAGCGGCAGATGTAAAGATCTCCGCTGTGCTCAATTTGCAAACGTACTTTTATTCATTTAGTTTAAATAATAATCTTGTTTACGCAGTATTTTTGAAGACTTAGATCATATATTGAATATTTACGTTGTAGTGGCTTTTATACCCAAATCATGAGCTAGGGGGTTTTATTCTAGAACATAGAAATTTATTTATGATAAAAAAACTAAACTTACTTGTAAAGGAAAGAACGGAGTTGTTAAAGCACCAATCTTCGTTGATTTGTTTGTTTGTAATTATGCTCTGCCCACCACGGGTATCGAAACCCGGATTCTAGCGTTGTAAAATCTTCGTTGAATTTAATATCAGTTTTAAAAACAAGCAGTATCAAAATTATTAAACCTTCGGGGTCGAGAATTCTTCAAAAAGAAAAAAAAACACATAAAACACTGATCAAGCTTCATAACTTCATAATACAATTAGGCGATTCCATGCGGGATTTATTTTTCTCTAAAGAAAAAGTTTAATATGATTAATCAATAAGGGAAAGTATTTTATAAGTTTAAACGTCATTTTTTATTGACAAAATGAATTATTAACAAAATCTTTTTTTTGTGTGCATGAAATCATGATAACTTCGCTCACCATTAAACGCAAATGTTTTGATTTCAAGGAGGAGGTTCAAAAACTGGCAGCACAGATAGAATTCATGCGGATAGTTCACATGGAAATGAACAATCGTCACCTGAAGCCAAAGCACGGGAGTTTTTTCAGCCAATCCAATACGGCACAGAGTCCTATAGTTAGGTCAATATACACGAAGTTTGAGAGCACCGACTCCCCTGGTTCAAGAATTTGCCCAGCTGCAGAGCTCATAAGTGAAAGGGTTTGAAATATTGGATATGAATATATCTGACTAGCCTGAATCAACCAGTCTACAAACAAACTGCTACATTAAGAGTTCAAAACTCTCAAAACCAACGGAAAATCTGCTTTGGTTAATTTTAATAAGCCATGTTATCATGGAGAGTTTTCTTCAATTGAGTAAATGCATGGCGTTGAATTAAAACGGAACTTCAGTATTATGACATTCAAGTTGAAAACCAGGAGTAACTGGAAATAACTTCAAGCTGTTGTATACTTCTTGCGATACATTTTGAACTTGATTCTGATGTAACGATGAATTAGAAATAATACAGTAAAAACAATGAGGACAAAAAGTTAAGTCGTTGTATTGTACATATAATAGTGTTTGCATAAGACGGGACAACGATATGGTATTTTTTTTCGTGTTAAATATTTTACCATGGACATCTACACATTTTCTTGCTTGAATTACTATTTATCAGATTAAAATTTTTTGTTAGTATTTGTATATATATATATATATATATATATGATTAACAAAACTAAGGGACCACCTGTTGTCCACAAAATAATTTTAGAAAAAGAAATATTTCAGTAGATTTGTTTCGAAACCAGGGTGAGCTAAAACCATGATGTTGTTGTGTTTTAGGTGTGACAAAGAAATGCTTTAACTAATAGGCTATTATTTATGTTTTGACTAAGATCTGTTTGCTGATGATATTGCTTAAAGTACCTTGCTAATTATATAACTTAAACTATTAATAGAAGTTTGTAAGAAATTGTCAATGACTGTGATGACACTGGTAAAAAAAAGGATCAGTCGATTAATTTATCCACTGAAGAGGTTCTATTGACTTGGAGTATTGTCAGAAAGGAGAACTTGTCAAATTGTTTAGACATTATTAGACTTGGAAAAATGATCTCAGTGGCCAAGGTTGTCATCATTTTTGTAAAAATGGATCATGAGTTGTGTTCATTTAAAACGTTAAGCGACAATTGAAGTATTTCTTATTGTATTTACTGAATGTCTTTCTAGTTGTTGTTCGAATTAGTGTGACTGCTCCCTGATATTGCTACTGAAATCTTTAAAAGGCACCTTTAGTTTCATATTGTTACGAATGAAATAATAATCAATTACTATAGTATATGTTTGAAAAAAAAACAGCGTTTTGGAGTAGAATTTAGCATTATGAGTGTGTATGTGTGTCTGTCTTTATACAAATGTAAATAGTGGTCCTGTTTTAAAATCCTCGAACAAATTTGTTTCTTAGTCGTTGTTTAGACCTCTCTCAACTAAAAAGGACTGAAGAAAATGTTTATCTATTTCTCCGTGTGAAGTCAAATTCAGTATCATGTCGTTAACTCCGTAACCACATGTGGATTCCTTATAAAATGCCCCATTTTTCTAGTTTGAACCCTATACGTATTTTTGGAGAAAAAAATGATATAACTATAAGAGATGTTGATGACGTATCAGTCTTTAAATATGGTAATATAAAATGCTATTGTATGTTTTCTCTACAGGAGTTATGTATTTCTGTCTATAGGAAGTTACAAATTAGTTTTCTTTTCCGTCTTAAAGGAGAAACATTAATTACTAATTGTATATCTGAAATACTAAATTTATACATGTTGTGTAACAATACCAAAACAACCAAATCAAGACCTAGTTGAACATGAGATTTCACTGATTTGCATTATAGTTCTTTTAAAACAGTTTATGTCATGTATATTTATCACTTTACATAAATATGCCCTACTTGAAATATTAATTATTTACCTAGATCTACAAACGGGATGTTTAACGAAAACAATCTTTATTGGAAGCTTATTAAATATCATCGTCGAGTATCAAGAATCACAATTTAAGTTTCTTCTTTACCTCACTGCACTATTGTTTTTCTCATAAAAAAAACATACTAAAAATGATTTATTATATCCACATCCGGAATTGTGTTCAGAAACTCCCTTGCACTTCAAAACATTGTAATACTCTAGACTTCTTCCATCTCACGCGTGTAACTCTTCTTAACTGAATATACAACATTTAAACACTCATAATATGAAAATGTACGTCACAGGATACATTCAGTTTGTTTCATATTCTTATATAATACATATAAATATATACAAAATCCAAAAAAGTAGTTTTCATATGGTAAATTGTTAGCAGTGGCGTAAATATGCCCCCGCAGCTCCTGCAATTGAGGGGGAACCCGAGCCAAACAGGGGGTCCGAAGGGTCTGAAAAACTTAAGAATTGCTGACAAGGGGAGTAAATGTGGGGGGCCCAATTACTTTTTATGCGGGGGGAACCTTTTGTAGTTACGTCACTGATTGTTAGTGCTACATAAATAACTGAAATGTCATATAAGTAGTACTCTTATATGTAGAACTAACTGTTCAGTATTTATAATGATTTAGGTTAGCATTAGTCAGGGTCTATTCCCTTGACTTATCGATATGGTTTAACAGTGTAACACATACGATCGTAAAAACCCGAACAGAACATTAGACGTGATCAAAGGTCATAGTTCCGTTTTCATGCCTTTAGATTTTTTTAATACTTTACTATGTATTCATTTTACTCAATGTATTGTCATAGCAAAATATACATGAATAAATTATGTTATAACCACGAGTTTTGTATTTTAATATTTTACTGTAGAATTCATATATTTAATGGACTATTGGAGTGTAACATAAATAAAATAAGAGATTCGTTGTTTTTTTCTTTTAGAATTATGTTCCACATAACACTGGTAGTAATATACAAAATGTAATATTTTCCATTACAGGTTTTAGAATAAACTAAAAACGAGGTCAAAGAATTGTTTGTTGATGCAAAACTTAGTACACTTCAACTTCATGGCAAATTGCAGATTTCTGCTTCTCTAAGTGTATCTGTTTAACGTTAGTGTTACAGAATTATCTGTTGGTCAAGTATTGAAATACACATATTTATACATGCATTTTAGAAGTAAACAAATGACTTCTACGGTACGATGGACAATCTCTGCTCAAATATGTTAAGTTAGAGCAGCGATTATATAAATATATCAAACCAAAATGTCGATTCCAAGGATGGAAAATAAATACAAAAAAATGCAGTCTTTCTGATAAATAACTTCATTTTATCTATAAGCCGTTTTACTAAATTTAGTAACGTTCTTCAGTAACGAAGCCTGAAAGTACAAAAGAAAAAACAAACAAAACATACAAGTGAAGGCATATTCATAATATCCATTTAAATCTTTATTATGCATACACACATATATACATAAACGATATTAAAATTCAATAACTTATGAAAGTCAATAAAAATGTATTTTAAAATAGTATAAATAGTAATAATTTTTATTTTTTATACTTTATTAATGTTTGCTTTAGTCGAGGTGCTCATATTCCCTGATTAATGATATATAAATGTTTTATTTTTTAACATATTTAAATGAACCTTTCTCTTATTGCCAGATATAATTTTTATGTAATTTATTCTTTTCTAAAGTATTTGTAATAACATTGTGAGTCTAAAATTATAATGGAGATAAACAAACTTTGTATTTATAACTACCTGGGGAGAGAATTCCTTAAAAGTAAAATATTGACGTATTTTTACGATGAGTATGAAAGTTTAACCTATCGGTTTTTAAACAAATTTTTAAAACTATTTACGAAACATATTACTTCTAAATTCATGACTTTGTTGGTTATAGGTCCCTTATATGAATAGATGAATCTCCGAAAAAAATTTAAACCAAAGTACCATCAATATTGCAGTCAATGACTTTAATTAGCGTTGATATATCCTACGTATTTTACATAGAATATGAGTGATTTTATCCAATTATTTTGATCATTTCATGACATTATTGTCGTAGCAGGCACAAAAATAACAATATAAAATTACTTAATATGAAGCTATGTATGGATCTCACCGATATAAAAACAAGTCGTTAACTTGCATGAGATTGTTTTGTACTCTTTACTATAATTTTAGTTTTTAATAAGATGAGTTGTTTATTGTATTTGTATTCGAATTAAACGAACCCCTTATTTTTAGAAATGGATATTAGGAAGTTTTTAACAAAGCGCAAATTAGATGAATTAGAAACTAAGATGACTAAGACAAGAAATGAATAATAACAATGCACCACCAGCTCCAATTCAGATTTAACAGCAACATCAGAATTTAGCCAACGGGGTCGTGTTGATGTTGATAATAACGAATATGATATTATATTGTATATTAATTCATCTAGAAAAGTAAGAGATGATCTTAAACACAATTTGTTTATGATGACTGACAAAACTCCTGCAAATTATGAATTCAAGAAGGATGCAATGGGGTCTCGCTGTTTCCGTCGTTTATGGTTAAGTCAATACTCACCATGGCTTAGTTATTCCATATACCTAAAAGAAGTGATTTGTAAATACTGTACTATTTTTTCACAGCCTGTTCATCGTGGAACACAGGGAGTTTTTTATCACTGCACCTTCCAGAAAGTACAAAACTTTCATAAAAGTGCAAGAAATCATATTTCAAGCACTTGGCACAGAAATGCGCATGTGAATGCAACTAACTTTTTGGCCATCAGAAAAAGACTAGAAAAGAGCATTGTGTGTCAATATGATAGTCCTGTGAAGCGTCTTATCGGGGGAAATCGAAAAAAAAGGTATTTCTAATATTATCATCTATTTTATTCTGTGACAAACATGATATTGCTTTACATGGGAAAAGCAGCAAAATTGAAATATAAAGAGCATTTTTGAGTTTCTCATTGAAGCAGGAGATGAGATTCGACAGAAAGATATAGAAAATTATCTAATTAATTCTCGCTGTACACCTGTTCGTGTGGGAAATGAACTGGTCAAGCTATGTGAAGAAACTGTAAAAGGAGATATTGTTTCTTCACCCAAGTTGTCAAGTGAATTTTCAATAATTGCTATTAAAGGAGCAATTGTCACTTGGTGTACGTTTTGTTGACACAAAAGGTAATGAAAATATTAATCGAGAATAATTCCTTGGCTTTGAAACACTTAAAGAATTGGAGGCTACCTCAATTGCCAATATAATTATTGACCAGTGTGCAAGATTTGCCTTAAATCTAGAAAAAATTCATGGACAAGGATATGATGGTTGCTGTAGGATGGCAGGTACGGAAAGTGGTGTGCGAGCGAAATAAAGAGTAGATATCCAAAAGCTACTTTGCCCATTATGCTGCACATAAACTCAATCCGGTTGTTAATGATTTGAATGCCCTTTGGACTGAAAATATAAAAATATCAGAAAATTTTCAACGAACTTCGAAAAAAGTTTTGGTCAGTTAAGCATACTGGTCACCAAAGCTTCAGGTAAAACACACCGGCTGAAATCTGCCTCAAGTACAGAAACTTTCCTCTTTTGTCTTATTATAATTTCAACCAATTTGACAATGCTGGAACCTGTAAAACAAACTCTCCAAACTATTCAACTAGATATCATGTAAGTGTATGATCATATCCATAAGAATTTGAGTGTATTTCGTGGCCACAGAGTCAAAGCAGACGAGCAATTCAAGGAAATTTTATCAAAAGATCAAGAATTAGCAGAAAAGTTGGATATTGACCTTTCACTTCCCAGACAATGTGGTCAGCAGAAATTCCGATCAAATGTTGAAGGCTCAATTGTGGAGGAATACTTTCGTAGATCAATCTATGTGCCATACTTGGACTCAATCATCTCATTCCTAGAAAGCCAGTTTGCTGCTGAAAATAAGAAAACATTAAGTCTCTTCTCGCTTCACCCAATACAAATGTCAAAACTCTGACGTGAATATTTTAAGAACCAAATTGCAATAATCAGTGAAATGTATGAAATCGATAACTTCGAAGCTGAAGCTGTCGCCTGGTTTGAAATGTGGTCTAATAAGGAAAAACAAGATCATGATGGAGTTGAAAATGGACCTTGGAGTTGCTAGACCGCACTGATCAATTTCCTTCGATTCAGCAAGCAATTCATATTGCTCTAACATTACCAGTAACAACTTGCACAGTGGAAAGGTCATTCAGCACAATGAGAAGAGTGAACACATAATTGAGATCTAATTACAATTTGTAATTACAAAATTAATTGATAAATTTGGACAAGACAGGAGACGTGTGCAGTTTCTATTTCAAAATAGTTAACCTACCTCATCTGACGTGCGTAAAACATAAAAAGCATGATAAAAATATCATCATTGTTTTTATGTCTAGTTATTTATTATTGTCATTTTCATGATTCTTGCTCACAAAAACTTGAAACTTCTGGACCTTCTCTTCAGTCTTGGTCTTACGAAACCTAGAGAGCAATTTCTCCTCCTAAATGTTATTTTTTTACCATTGATTCTAAGATAGAATTATTTACATTTCCATTCCATATTTAAACTGTGACATGAGATGTCATACTGTCTATCATTAAACATTTACTATTTATTCCTTCAAGAAGAGTGTCTTCGATCATTTTGTATGTAGTTATTTTAATCTGTGGCTTTCATACTAAAATGTTATTTTGCTTAATTATATCACTTTATTAACAACAGTCAGCATATTTGTTATCATTTTTTATGCAGATCTTGAACCAAGCATAAATGTGTACGGTTGGTATATAACATCGGAAGTTGCTTTGTGGTCCTCAGCGCTATAAAATTTTGCCTTGAGAAGACGTAAAATATAAATAAACTTGTTTTTGTTTGTTTTGTTTTTTTGCCGGTAAATTTCGCTGTTGCCGAAACCTGGTATACCTAAGAATTAATTATAATATTGTTTAATATTACAAATATTAAACCCATCAAATTTGATTGTGAGAGCTTACCTATTCTGTTGACTGTAAGTGTAATGGCAAAACTTTGAAGGCGGGTCCATTGTCCCTTGATTTTAACTTTGCCCTCTCCCCTGGAAGATCGTTTAAACTTCCGACAACAAGACAGCAATAAATTACACAGGCCTGCGATGGTTTTATTGTCAACAAATTACACAGGCCTGCGATGACATTTTTACATGTTCTACAGTAATTCTTGTACGCTGAATCCGAAAATGATATCCATTTTTCTCCATCACGTACAGATTTTTCACAAAACGTCAAATGTACTTTTACATAAGTGAATCACTTTCAATGAAAACGGGTCACATTTTGTTATGCTTAAAATGTTGACAGCCACTGACTACAGATTTCTCTAGACAAATCGCGACGTGAGAATCTTATTAATCGTTCTAGAACTCACGAAAAACACACCGCTAGAATATAAACGGTTAACAGGCAACGTGACATTTCTGGATAGTATTTGTTTGTGCGTGCACTTTGACATTATTTTTTTCTTTTCAATATTATCTATTCATCGTTATGGCAACAAGAGGTTGTGTAAATTGCCCAAACATATTCTGTTATATTTGTAGTAAATTTGATCTATGCGAGAGTTTTTTTCCTTCCCGATTTGTAAAAAATCCTTACGTGATAGAAAAAATTGAACATTATTTTCGGAATCTGTGTAGCTGAATTATGGAAAATCTGTTATTAAAACCAAAACAACTTTTATGAAGTTTAAATTCGCAGGTCTGTGTTATTATATATCACTTGAAACTTTAGTTTATATCCACTGAATAATAGTACATCGAGACAGA